TTTTTATTTAATTTCTATTTTTATTCTGGAAATGCTGTAATTTGTTCGATGAAAGCAGGCGTGGGTTAATATCCCGCTTCCAGTACAGTAACACCTTGAGCAGAGAAACCCGCAGCGCCAGGCGTGTTGAGTATGGGAGTTAAAAATAGCATCATCGGTCGGCCAAGCGCCGCTCCGTTACTACGCGTTTCAGCATTCTGCCCTATGCAGGGGGGGAGTCTGCAGGACTGAGACCGCGGCAACCCTCCACCTTTTTGTGCTGCTCCGCATTATCAGTCGGAGGGCCACTTGTGGTTGTTTCGAAGGAGTAAACCCAACCTGAAGTCCATTTTAAGCACATTTGCAATCTTTATACGAGTCCATTCTCACATTACTCACCATTTTGCTCCTGATGCTCTATGTGAAATAAAACAGAGGCTTTAGAGTCACCATACCGCGGCCGCTTCGGTCTATTGAAAGAGGTGTAGGCTAGTCTTTTGGCTCATCCTCTACTCGTTTACATTTTTACTGGCTAATTGGGCCCTCGATGGTGTTTGTTCACATTAAAGGCAAAAGCAGGCTTTGCTTCCACCTTCAAAGTGGGAGATTCTCTACCTGACGTCAATGCCTGTGTGACTGACGCAGCCCGCAGCAGAAGGAAGTCTGTTTTAGTTATCCATTTGTTTAGGCATTAAAAATAAAAAAGGACACCCAATTATCCACCACCGAGCTCTACAATTATAGCTTCGTTTGACTATTTTCGCCATATTTTTTCCCCTTTCCACATGGTGGGTGCGTCTCTGCGCGCATGGATGCACGCGCGCGCTGGGAGATGAGGGTGCCACCGTGCTTCCAGCGACAAATTATGATTTTTATTATTATTACTATTATCATTCTTTTTTCTAAGCGTCAAATTTTGCACATTATTAACTCTTGTTTGCAAACCCGGTCCGAGTGGTTTCCTTGTGGAAATCATGATCACTATATATTGGACAATATGCGGGTGGGCTTGCGCGTGCGTGCGTGCAGCCCACCGTGCAAACAAGGCTCGCGCTCGCTCTCAAACGCCGCACGCTCGAAATTCCTCCAAGGAACCTCTGCGAGCTTTTCTTTTTTCATCACGCGCGAGCTAAAAATAGAAACGGGGTTGGATCGTGATCCAGAAATAGATAGGGGGCATCACTCCTATAAAAGGCATACCATTCAAGAGTACAGTGAGAGAAGAGAAAAGCCGGAGCAGATTTAATGGACAAATAGGGTGTTTAGTCCATTTTTTAAAACCTTCTTTCGATGCTTTTATCAGAATCTCTGCAGCTACAACGGTGAGTTGTTCTAACCTTTTTCTGAATGCACCTGTTTCCTTTTTATCCCAGTATTCTGCATCAGTATTATTCCTTGTTGTTCTTTTTACGTAAAATTTTGAGCATTGCAACTCTTTGATTAGGATGGGTCGCCTTCTTGAAACACATAGCATTTAAGGAGAGCTTTTTCGTAAGAATTGCTGCTATTTCTGCAGCTTGCTGGAAGGAACATCAACCGGTGTGTGCTTACAGCTACACGGGGATCACCCTCAGACACTGTTATTAAAATAGGCAAATTAGTCTTCTCCCTGTTTATGAGAGATGAATTGTCAGTATTCTTGCTGTTGTTACCTAATGATCCTCATTCTGAGATTTGTTGAGTGGTTCTCAGCCAAGAAGTGTAAAGGGAGCTGTCCTTCTGGTAGCGGTGCTGAAGCGGTTCAGGTAGCGGTTGCTGGTTTACACCCAGTGCAACGAATACCGCCATGGGCAGCTCTGATTAGTTTGATGCACCAGAGTTTTATGCTTTTTGATGGGTTTTGATCTTCACGCATTACCGCTGTGTGAATAAACATGATTTTATTTTTATGCTTAAACTGAAGGGAGAGCAGTTCGACGCCTCACACCAAATACTACATTTAGAATTTGAAGCCGTTTGCAAAAAAAATTTTTTTTTTTTTCATCTCTCCTCCCTTTTGTGCACGATGAGCCTCGAGTCGTGACTGCTAAAAGTGAGTAAGGCGCGTGCTGCGTCAGTGGCGTCTGGCTCCGGTGCGCTCGAGACAGATGGGGAGAATCGTGACAGGCTGGGGAGACGCGTCCTCGACTGAAAGACTGGGCGGCCCAATGAAAACGAGGCGAGGGTGGGGCCCCTACATCAGCAGCTGGTGATTTGGAGCCAAAATTAACCCTTTGCAAATAATGAAATAAAACTTTATGTTTATTTAAGATGAATGCGCTCCGAGTAACACGCCCGGTTTGGATCCACACATCTGATTGTGATGAAAAGTCGTGCGTTTTCAGCTGCAGCCTGATTGTTTTAAACCGCTCTGATGACCATGAGAGCAGAGGTAGTCAAGAAACTGTCAGGTGCTTTGGCCTCCTGCTTTTAGGTGCTCTTTTTCTTTGCATCCCTATTGGTGGATGACTGGGTACCGTGTCCAATCAGACCACAAGCATTCCTCTGCTGCGTGTTAAAGTCTATAACGGCGATAAGATACCGCCTCTCTTCATCGCCGCTCTTTTTAATAACAAGGCTGCGTGTTGCTGCAAAGCCAATACCAGTTAGACGAGTGTTCAGATTAGACACAATTCAGTCAATGAACAAGTCAAACGACAGTGCAAAAGCTGAAGACACTTTGAGGATGAAGACCCCCGAGGAGTCGTGGACCTGAGATTCACTGTGATTTATAGCAGCTGTCCGTCACGAATCTTTTTGCGGTCTGGGCTTGCTGTGCATACATGAATCCGGGAAGCCCTTACCCCAAAAAGCATTCGTGGAGGACGTTAACGTCGCTCGTGTTGTTTTGGATGGAGGAGTCACACTGCTGCTGTCAAAACGGGCTCTCTGGTGTGTTGTAACAACGAGAGCTGGACCCTCAAAGTGCTTCCGCACACACAGGCAGTGTTTGAATGTAATAGCTAGACGTTTGGTTCGATACTTAAATACAACTATTATGTCTCTGCATCTACTGAAGGAGGAAAAGGCAAACACGAAGATGCACACACCTTTTATACACAGTTTACTCTTCAGCAGTTTGCACAATTACGCAAAATGTTGCTTAGCTGTGCAAAGGGGAGGGTGGAGGGATAAAGAAATTTAAGAAAAAAATATCTAGATTTCAGAAGAGTTGTTAAATAGAAAATAATTTATGTTTTGGACACATATATTTTATTTATTTAAAAACATATTGATTGCACTTAACTATCTATCTATCTATCTATCTATCTATCTATCTATCTATCTATCTATCTATCTATCTATCTATCTATCTATCTATCTATCTATCTATCTATCTATCTAATCTCAGCATGTTTAAATTTTGTTATATTGCTCTATCTCAATTGTAAACAGCTGCATGGGAAAGATTGCATAATGTAATAAGTGGGAGAAAATAAAAACAATTATCATTATGCCCAGAATTTAACGTGTAATAAGTTATCCAAAATATGGTATATATTTAGATTTTTGAATTTTGAGACATCAATACAAATACTAAATTGCTTTCTTTTTCAACACACTTTTCATGTGCATTTTATATTATTACATACACTTAATCTGAAAATAGAAATTATCTATTGAATCTATCCATGTTCATCATATATCTTCCGTCACGCCAGCGTGCGCATGTTTTCAAATCATTTTTCTGTTTGACGCAGCAAAAGAAATTTGATTTTTACTGTTTCTGCGCCCTCACGTTGTGTTCACTTTCTAATTTTTCTTACCGCTTTAACTCCCAGGCTCCCCACTTAACTCACAAATACAGCACACAACACCTGAAGACAGCAGCAGTGACCAAATAACATCTAGATCAGCAGGACTACAGTGAGTGGGAAATCCTGGAAAAGATGTGAACAAATCCTGGAAAAGATGTGAACAAAAATTTGCATCATATTCTGGTTTTACTTTTGTGAGATGGTCAAGAATGTCTGCCTTCTCATCTTTAAACTGCACTTCAATTGAGTCTATTAAGACATCAAGAGTTTTTTTTTTTTTCTATCTAGCTATTAATGATGTAAATACTAAAAATTCCACTAGAAAGCAAATTAATTTGTGTCTTCTTATTTTTGCAAGCTGTGATTAGGTGTTCTATTCATGCGCTGTATTAATAGGTTGGTTTCTGAATATTCAGGCAAATGATTTAACTTTTTGTGTTCTTGTTATTGCTTTTTTACCTTCCACACTTTACCACATCTTTTATTAAACTCTCCATACATAATATTTTTTGTGTTTCATAGCACTGAACAATTTATACAACATCTGAATGTTTTGTTTATTCCTCTAACAAATTTCACACATGATTTTTTTTCCCAATATGCCGCTGACGTAAGTGACTGAACTGTTCATTAATCTTAAAGCTCCTTTAAATAACTATGAGGCTGATATTTTACCCATGTCGGGGAGCATGGGCAGTAAACTCCCCTCACACTTTTTCCTAGAAATAGTCAAATTTATCCAATTCCTCACAAACTAAGGAGCATCATGTTTGTGATTCATCCCTTTCTTTGCAATTTTCCATCTCATGCAGATCAGCGTCTGCACATCGGTCACAGTCCCTTGAAAAAGCAGGGGAATTAAAGTATATTTTTATCATGTGACAATTTAAGTGGATTTAAAACTTGGAATAAACAATGTTTAGAAGCTGAAAATGTTTTTTATTCTTCGTGTTTTTTTTTTGTTTTTTTTGTTTTTTTTTTGCAGGGTTACAATGTATTTTTTTTATGCTCCTTTTTCATGAGAAAATCCACCAGAACGTGTTTTAACTCTTCATAAATAAAAACAAGAACTATGAATCAACATTAACTGTTATGACTGTGACGATCTTTGACATTATACAGTCTTTTTCCTTCTCTTTCATTATTTAATTCTTTATTTCTGTACACAGTATGAGCTTGGATTTTAATTAGAAGCAGTTTAACGGTACTAGGAGTGTATATGTATCTGGATGGGAGACATTCTGATCATCATAGTTATTTACAAGCAGCAGTCTAAATTGATTGAACCCATGCATGCATGTGTCCAATTGGTCTCTCTAAACTGCCCTCAGGAGTGAGTGTGTGTCGTGCATGTCTATGACAGACTGACGATCTGACCAGGGTGTGCCCCACCTCTCGCCCATTGACCGCTAGAGATAGGTCACCCCTACCCCAGCAACCCTGCAAGGATAAGCAGGGGTATACAATGGATGGATGGATGAATTGGTAGATGGATGGATGGATGTGTTCTAGGTGGAAAGACATTCTGCTGCACAGTTAATGTGAATACTGTGTTAAGCTCCCACAAAGACGTGACATGGTACTAATGTCACCAAAGACCAGCATGTATCAAACACTGAATTGAAAAAATATATATATATATCTCACTCTTTTGGGCTCATTGGAAAGTAGTTGTAGTATGAATCTTTTTTTCCCTCTCTAATAAGGTTGGTAACATAAAACTGATATGTCAGAAGTTATGTGAATGACCATCTTTGTTTTAAGCTCTACATGTATGGTAAATGTATTTACTCCTATGTTTTCAATCAAACAGTGAAAACTCCCTTATTTGAGTTTTCATATCTCACTCTGCTTTTTTTTTTTTTTTTTTTTTTACTATTATTATTATTATGGTTATTTTTTAGGTGTGTGAAGTTGTGTATAGATTGCATCGTTATTCAAATAAAAATATATATTTTTAAACTTTTGTATTATTGGTGAGTTTACTTTGTCAACTTTGCTAATATATCAATGCTCAAGTAATATAGATTAAACACTGCTAACATGTAATCACTGTTCACGTAAATTCTGATTAACAATAAAAAAACAGAAGGAGATCCAGATAACATGAGCAGTTTACACTAAATTAGGAGATATAATATCCACATTGTGAATATGTAAATGAAAGCCAGTGTAAATTATGTTTATTTTATTAATTTTGTTCTAAGTTTAGTTGAATTTATGCAATAAAGAGTATACAAAAACAAGAGTTTATTATTGTCATTGTAAGCCTGCAAAGTAACTAAACAATAAAGTAGAGTTTAATAAGCATAAAACAAAAGGAAAGCCCAGAAAAGTAAGAATGTGTGATCATCGGCCTGCAGCACTGTTTTACAGACATTTTAAGTACAAATATATTAACAAGCTTGGCACTTTTTTCATGAACCAATCAATGCAACAGTTGAAATCAACACTCCTCACTTACCTACAACACGCTCACTCACTGAGGCATGAGCAGCAGACTCACAGGACTTGCCTTGGGGCATTCACAGTAAGGATCAGCTGCCGGTCCATCTGCGACCGAGACAATGCTCTGATTTAAATTTCATTCAGGTTCCTTTGAAAGTCCACAGCCGACAGTTTAGACCCATGTTTACAATTGGTGCATTTCTATTTTTAGTAGCAATGCGCTTATGTAACGCTCACACTAACGTTATAGACCACTGATGTCTGCTTCACTTGATTGAACTATGTTATGCGTATGTGTGTGTGTGTGTGTGTGTGTGTGTGTGTGTGTGTGTGTGTGTGTGTGTGTGTGTGTGTGCGTATGTGTGTATGTGTTTGCATCTGTACACTAACTTGGACATAATTATGTGTTTTATTAAAAAATGAAGGAGTTGTATTGACATTCATAAAGTTTTAAACCTATTCACATTGTGACCTTGTGCATTTTTTAGTGCCATTGCTGACTTAAGGTTTATTATTTTTGAACAAGGGATCAAGGTTCTCTAATATGTTAATCAACAAATCTAACAACATAACCCATAGATGCATGAAAGCACAAAAACCCAAAGAAAGGTAAAAATTAAACAGTGTTGTATAAAATATCGGTCAAATAATACAAGTGAAGTGAAATCATTGATCGGCATTTGAGATGAAAAATATAATTCCAACACAATCAAGAAATTATTAAAATACAATCAGAGTAAACATAGGCTATTTCATTTTATTATATATACAGCTCAATTGTTCAGTTTTTAATTTTTTTTAACTGGTTTCCTTAACATGATAAATCTAGTACAAAAATCATGCAAGATATAAATCATGTTCATACCAACATGATTTATGTCATGTTGGTGAAATTCAGTATTGCATATTCAATTTCATATGTCTATAAGCAAAGAGGTAGACAAACAAGCAAATGTCTAATATTACTTTTAAATATAAAGCATACACACCTTATCTTCATATCCACTACCACATAACTTGTAGATTTGATTGTACAGTTAAGTCAAGTACCAAATATATCAAATAAATAAATATTTAAATAAACTTAAAATTCTGTAAAATCTGTGAATTTAAAGATGTAGTTGAAAATCAGCTGTTGCAAATCAGTGGTATAATAAAAAATGACAAAAAAATAAAAATAATAACTAAATATATATTATTAAATACAATGGAGTACTTCAGAATTATAATACATTTTTAAAATATCTTGAGATATAAAAAAGAAATTAGATGGCAAGTACAAACACCACATAGAAAGAAGAGTTTGCAATGTATTGAGTGCAAGAGTGTGTGTTAGTTCATTGGTTTATGGTTTTTAGTTAATTGGTTATGAACTGTACTGACTAGTATTTTTTAGCATATTGGCTTTTTTGCACGTATATATTCAAAAAGGGTTTCTCCTGAAATGACACCTTGTATTTTAAAGATTTACTAGTGTAAATATAGTGGGGAAAAAACAACAACAATCAAACAAAAAGCAAAACAAAAAAAAAAGGCATACAGATACAGAGCTGTAGAGTTAAGTAAATTATAAATAGGGTCTTTATATCTATAAATAAATAAAATAAGCTTAAATTAAAATCCCGTTGTTCAAAAGTGAAAAGATATAGCCAGATATCTATTTTATTCCAGAGTATAAGATAGAATATAAAATAATAATAATAATTAAAAAAAACAACTCAAGAAAAATATCTGTATCACAAAAAAATCGTTCATTTCCAGAGAAAAAGAGAATGGTCCAGTTATCGATCATTGAACAGTTTGAATTCTTGACATGTTGCTCAACGGTAGGTGGTGATAATGCTTCGGTTTTTCACTGTTGCTAAGAAACGTACAAAAGAAGAAGAAGAAGAAGAAGGACCCAATCACCAGCAGCGAAACACACATGAGGAAGCGTCTGACTCGGGCGTCTAAGCTGGGATTCCCTTTGCACTTTGAGCAGCGCCTGTTTAATTAGTAAAGAGGTTAGAAGTCCAGGTGTCAGTGTCACCACAGAGCAGAGACAGAGGAAGGACCGGTGCGGGAATGTCTTTCAGCGGAGAAGCCATGTGTAAGGCCGTGGAAGCGCCGCTGTTCTGGCTGGGTGCTCTAACCGCGGCCTGGCTGTCCGTGTGCTCCGTGTACCGGCTACTGTCCGGCTTCAGGGTGTGGGTGCTGGGCAACGGAAGACTGATCTCCCCCAACAAACTGGGAAAGTGGGCAGGTGAGAGTCCAGAAGGCTGGAAACACTAATGTCAAGTAATATCGCAGTTAAAACTGGTCTTAATCATGCAGAAAAAAGTGACAATGAGTCTTTTTGATAAGGTTTTGGTGAAGTGAAATGCTGTTATCATTTAACGTTTAAGAGACGTTAAATGATAACAGCAAATCTTGCATATTGTTGTACTAGCAACCCAACATGTATTGTTTTGATATAAGATATATCTACATCTGTCTGTCAGGTCTATATTTTATTATACTTCTCTTGTTAATCGGATTACAGCGAGAGTAGAAATATGTCATCATAAAGATGCACCTATCAGTTGGACAGAGAAGCTCAGACTGGTGATCGCCATGTCCAATAACTGACCCTATTTATTGAAAACTAAGTAAGACAGTTTGTCTTCTAAAACCTAAAACGGCATGTAATTTAATTCAATTACCATTTGATAGTATGGTGAAATTGCAGAGTTTCTCTTAGGCTTTTTCAGAAACACTGTAATACAGACTGCTATGAAGATCCTTCCTGCCCACAGCCATAACCATCAACACATTTTTATTTTTATCCAAATCTGGGGAAACATTTTATCCCATCTCTGACCAATAAATATATGTGGTATATTATTTTCATTTTGATCTGCAACACCCGTTCCTGAAGACTTAAAATCTTGTTGCAAATGTCTGCATACCTACATGCCCTTTTTCCCATTTCGGTACTGACTTAAGGAACAGACAGTCTTTAGAGTGAAGACACCATCTCACTAGATTGTGCTTTGTATATAACACTTAGAAAGGCCTTGCAAATCAGAAAATAGCTGTGCCAGTATCAGGACAATGTGTACTATTCAACTGTCACTAGTTGCAGTTGTTTTCTTTGTTCCCAGCTACAATGTATCCAGTCTGTTTGAGAAATGTATAGAATTGCAATGAATGATAATGTGCTGAATCAAGTTTGCAAAAAGGAAGGTAAGAAAAAGCCAAATCTGATAAACTTTATACATTTATCACAAACTTATTGTCCATACTCTTAAAATGCTGTTGGTCTGCATAACTAATCGTAGCTACAAAATATGTGTATACCGAAGTTTTATTTGATAAAATTAACATAGTAGTTTGTGACACTGCCATGCAGCCGTTTTTCTAACATATTTTAATAATTCACATCTGCTGAATCTATATTTGTCTTCCCATTTTGCAGCAGCGCACACACATCTCTTGACCTATCTTGTTTGCCCTAGCAGAAAATGCGGGTGACTGCCTTCTGGTATGTTGAACACGATGGAATGATCAGACAGTTTGGTTGTAAACTTTAGTAAATCTTGTGACTGGATTATGGTTCGAGTGGATTATCAAATCAGATTGAATACTGTCCATTTTCCCATGTTGCTCACTGATCAAACCTTGACATTTGAACAGGCTACCTGATGTTACTTCATACGCGTAACCCTAGAGTTCAAAGTCCACATTTCAACACAGATACTGTAAGACTGTGTGTGTGTTAGAAATGGGCATACCGTATGGGAACTCTAATAGTTAAAAGTAATCTGTTTTGAGCTATTGATCTTGGTGATTTAGATTGTAGAGAAATTGGGCAGATTGTTTTAGTTGAAAATGTTCAGAATCCCTTTTAACATGCACAGTGACATCAGTCTGCCAGAGAGAGGAAAATGTTTGGAAGTGAAGTTGGGAACTGAAGTTGCTTTTGATCTTTTTTTTGTGTGTGTGTGGCTATAAATGGAACTTCATCAGAGGGAGAAGGGAGTTTATTTTTGGATCACTCATGCAAAATGATTTAGAATATGCAGTGAGGCAAAAGGAGCCTGTTGGCCTCCACTGCTACTTTCATTCACAAACTTTGTCTCAGTGAAGTGGACTTGATTGGGAGGACAGCCTGATTATATCACAATTCCAGAGTCATTCATAAATGAGGCACACATGAGACG